CGAAGCTCGTCTAAATGATCAAAACAATGATAATACAACGATCATAAACAGAATTTTATTTATAATGTTCTTCTGACAGTGAAAACAAGAGAGAATGCTACAGTCGAGCAAGCCCGACAGTGTTATACCCTGTACCCAGGTAAACTTCCGTCACTGAGTTATATGCGCCCATAGCAGCAGCAAAAAGAGGAAGAAGAAGAGCGAACTTGTTGATGTAGTTTGGGGGAGAATTTGTTTCGCTAATAACTTTTCTTAGAATTGAAAATTTTGAACAACAGTAGATAATTATATATAAATTATGTGTGCAAAGTTTGGTTTAGGTAGCATTTGAAATGTGGACGCTATTGACGAAATTCTGCAGCGGGGGAAGGGGGGGGAAAATTAAAAAAAAAAAATAAACTCGTCCTTACTCGGACCTAGGAGAATCTGGATGCCAACTTTGGTTATTCTAGCTTTTATAGTTTCTGAGATCCTCGCGTTCATCCAGACGGACGGACGGACGGACAGACGGATAGACGGACGGACATGTCTAGATCGATTTCTCTCGTCATGCTGATCAAGAATATATATACTTTATGGGATCGGAGATGCTTCCTTCTGTATGTTACATACTTTGCACAAACCTAATATACCCTTTTTACCCTACGGGTACAGGGTATAAAAAATATGAAGAATATAACACTGCAATATATTTAAAAAAGAATGTCTGACTCATAATTTGAATAAGAAAACTCAGCATACAGAGAATACACATAAGTATTAAAATATTGCGGGTACCGGAAGTTGCACACGTTTTCACAAAGCTTATTTTATCGTTTGACCGGATATAGGAAGATTTTGAGCGGGCCGGTTGATGTCGAGTTAAGTACAAAATATTCATTTTTCTTCGTGCGTGATGTCGTGATTGTTTTATGATAATTAAACAGTGAATGAAACGCAACTTCAACTAAATGTATAAAACATGCAGAGCAATATTTGCGTAGTCCTGTGGTCCACATGCGCCTGAAATTGATTTCGCACTGGCATTCATTGCATGCTGATTTTACCAATTCACGGTAATACCACAACTCTGACTACTGACCACTTTTTAGGCCCAAAGCAACTGGCACAATAACTCGCCCAATGAAGTGGTTTTGTTCGACAATCAATTCGCATTTGTTGCCTAAACACCCTGCAACCATTCATTCATTTGTTCACTCTTCCTGCATGTGTTAGGGAGCGCTGTCCTTTCCCCCTATTTCCGGGCTTTGCATGCAAATAGCTGCGTGTGTGGGGTGCGTAATGATGTTTGCATAAGTAATTAATACGAATACTTCATTTGACTTTAGTCGAGGCCGTTGTCGGTAGTTGTTGTGTAAAGCACGGCCTTTTATTTACTTATTTTTTCATTTATGGATTACAAAGTGTAGATTATTAATATTTAATTATTTCATTTATTTTAAATTATATTTCATGTTACAAATAAACTACTAGCTGTGTGTTAATTGCTGCATTTGTCTCAAGAAATATTCGATAATATATGTAGATATATTTCAATTCTAAAGCACAATGTTTAAAACTTAAGCGAATTCCATTTCCCACCGCGTCCTTTTTAAAATAAAAATTTTGCTGAAAAGCAATATTTTCTTTCATTTATCAGTTTTGCAAAGTTTCTACCAACCTTCACAGTTCTGTTGGTAGCAGCATTAATTGCAAAACCCTTTTCAGCACGTTTCTTTTTTTAAATATTGTAAAATAAAATGACGAAACTTTGGGGCACCAACGCAACTTTTAATTTGATTTTCAAAAACAGCTCCAGATTACTGAACTCGATCTAGGAATTTGCAATTCAGTTTTTACAACATGTGGTTGCAAATACTTAGCAGCTCTTTGGAAATAATTTGATTACAGTAAGATGGAGGGAATGATAAACCTTACACGATATTACACTTGTATACGATATAATTACAGCTATTAGAGTTGCTTAAATGCGATGAATTTTTTCAAGCACATGCCTGATTCAAGCCTTAGTCTTAAAAAATATTAGACAGAATCGTGGATAATACTATACATTCAATCAATTGTTATTGTTTTATTGAGCAGAGGACATAGCATTTGTTCTTTAATTGAAATCAGAGACAGAAACTGGGGCGCCAATTATTTAATTTTGCGCTTGAATAAATAATTAGGGTGCAGCAAAGGCCGCAGCCTTTGTGAACTTCCACCCTCCAAGGAGACCGCATTACACAAACATTTACTTATTTATTAAATCTTTTACATATATTTACTTTGTTTTGTTCCGACTCCACATGTCCCACAGGACATGCAAGAACTGTCACTGTTGGCTGGAGAGTGGTATCTGTCTTTGTCTCAGCCTCAGCCTCAATCTCAATCTCCATCTCCATCTCAATCACTGCATTTGCTCCTCCAATGCCATTTTGAATGGGCTTTATTTTTTTGCCAGATATTTTAGTTGATTGCTTCGTTTCTCGTTTAGTGTACATACATAGTCGTACTCGTATGTGACTTTGATTTGTAATTCACCGTCTCGAGCGACAGTAGGTGAATGGCAAATCGCAAATGGCAAATGGCTTAGTTTGCGGCAAACTCCCATATATAGTACTTGTAGTACTAGTTCTGCCTGATGTCGTCGTCAATTGTCTATTATCACGCTCTTTGTAACTGTGCGCGTGTCTGTGTGTGTGTGTGTGTGTGTGTGTGTGTATATGCGTGTCCTGCATGTGTATTATGGCGCTAGGCAACGTCAGGACAATTTACACGCCTTACGCGCACAAATTCTGAAGCTGATGGCGTTGCCTCTAGCGGCTGATTTGATTTCTACATATAAGTACATATGTACATATGTGAGTGTGTATGAGTGGTTTACAGTGAGCAACCACTTTAGTGAATTGAACACTTTGTTTTGCTTGGATAAGAACTTAAAATGGACTTCTATGCACTCCATAGACTTTCAAGAAACTAAAGAAGCTTCGCCAAAGCCCGAGTTTTTGTTTTCAAAGTCTCTGATATAATGGAATTATATGGGAATGTGCGAAATAGCATTTCACCTGTCGTCGAAATGGAAAACTGAGATGACATCAGATATATGAGAACTCTGTATGACATATTATACATTGGTCTTATGGCATTAGTTTGGTACTCAGATCCACAAAAAGTAACGTTTTCCAACAAACAACAATTTGTTTTATCTACTGTTCCCCTTTAGTGAGTGCTTATTGCCGCATTGTCTTTATATGTATAATAACAGATGACACTGAAAGACGCAGAGCTGCCAACTCTCCACGCACAACGCGAAACGCGAAAAATGTCAAATGTGCGGTGGGCCGCAAATCTCGCAACGCCACAAGGAGGCCTATATGCCAAGGCAGCAAAGGTGTTGTGGCTATGAATCTTTCGCCACCACAACCACCATCACCACCATCACCACCACAACCACCAACTAACTGTAAAGACGGAATGAAAAAAAAAACACAGTTTCCACTTTCATTTTCCCGCTTTCTTTCTCGCATTGTCAGCACCAAATGACTTTGTATTTCATTATTATTTATATTTATTTCGGGATATATGCGAGTGGGTGTATTTGTGTGTATGTGTGTGTGTGTATTTGTGTGTGTTAAAGAACAATGCAGACGCAGTGTTGTCGTTGGTGCTGCTGGTGCTGTTGGTGGTGCTGGTGAGGGAAATCTTGGCATACTTAAGTGGGCGCATGGCGATTGTGAGCGTGCGATTGTGTAAGTATGCAATAGTTGCTTGCATTAAGACAAACTGATGTGCGGAAAGTTTACAGCGCACTCCGCTCGACTAGTCGCGTGGCAGCGTCAAGACAATGAGATTTGCTCGAGTGACGCCACCAACACCCACAACAACAACAACAACAACTACAGCATACTACAAACAAAAGCAGCGCAAGTTGTTTCCGGCAACTGCGAATGCAAATGCAAATACTACGAATGCAAGCTGCTTGACAGCCACACTTTACACACTTTACTGTTGACTGTGGGACTCAGCTCTACTGTGGCCAACAACTAGAAATGTAATGCAAACTTCTTTATTCTTTGTTAAATAGTTCAATATTTATTCACTCTTTATTTTAGTTTACTTTTTCCACAATTTAATTTAATGGAACCTATTTGCTATTGTAACGGGTTACGTATATAATCCAGGCTAGATGGTGGGCATAGGTGAGAGCGCACGCGAAATTTTTCCGGCTCTGGCTCGTCGGCAAGTGGGGTGGTGATCTTGCTTCTCGCCTATGGTTTGCCTATACATATATATTTCTTTAAAAAAAAGATGCGTGCAGACAAGCGGAAAAGTTGCGGTAATACACACACAGGATAGTAAGAGGGAAAACAAACATAAAACGAAAATTGCGACCCTCAGGTGTTAATGAGGTGAACTGCGACCCTCAGGTGTTATTGAGGTGAACTGCCCTCCCTACCATGGTCATTCCTTACCAAAAAAATAAGGACTAACTATTAGAATGACCCCTAAAATTTCCGGGAGACCTACAGGGGCGGCATGACTAGCATTGATCAAAAGAAGTTAAGTTAAAACATTATAAAATATAATTTATTCACAAAAAAAAACGAACGTGGAAAAATAAGAAGTGCATGACAACCAATTATAAATAACAATTAAATAGGTATAATATAAATGAAATTAAATGTGTATGTATATGAATGCTTAAAATATATAGATAAAAGGTAATAAAAAAAATGAATATGAAAAATAAATAGAATTCAAAAATGATTTATAAAGGTATAACCAAAATGAAAAATATACATTCTTATGAATTATTAAATTAGAAAAAAAACTTTCGGCATGGAAACAAAATGGCAGTAGAAAAATGATGCAAGAAAAAAGAATTGAATCAGTTAAGCTAAGTAATGAAACTATATGTTCTGAGTTTTGCCTCTTTAGTTGAGTTTTTTTTTTTTTTGTTACGTGATTCGCAAAAAAAATAATAACAAAAAAAATAATTTGCAAAAAAAATAACTTACTTGGCGTTATCCATCGCTGAAAGTACTTTCCCGATGAGACCGCTGCTGAAAAGGAAAATCTTAGCTGATGGGAATACAATCCAACCATCTGTGTGGACACAAAACAGAATTTCGTTTCTTTTTCTTCTGCTGTACTAAAAAAAAACTCACTCGAAAGAAAACACTCAACAAAACATACAAAAAAAACGGTACTCCTCTTCCTCTTCAATATTCGAAGATACGGCCTCTCTTCGGATTTCGAGAACCAAGATAAACTAATAATTAAAATTCGGCCATGTGTTTCCCTATGCCTTCACAAAGTAAAATTAATGTCATCGAACAATGTAATATAAATGGTCTGAACCAAGATTAACAGTAAAAAAAAACTGTATAACTAAATAGAACTTTAAATATAAATATAATGAAAATTTAACCTATGGAGAAGTTGATTCTGGCTGGCCATTATATCGTTTTTTTCCAACAACCAAAAATTTAGCCACTACTGCCTTTTCCCTTTGCTCAGAGCCACACGTCTTAGCTGCACTCAACCTTTTTATTTAAACCAAACACAACAATGAAGCCGACGCGGGTAAAATTTAGCAGCGTGGATACGACGGCGCTGGTAGCTGCTTCGCGTACGATAGAAGACTGAGTTGCACTCAGGTGGGTCGGACGATCGCCTGCGGTTGTTCTGCTGCGTCGAACATAGGGTCCAAAACTTGAGTGATTTCGTCTTTTAGAATTTTAATGCTGCTGGCGGCTGCTGTTTATTGCATATGCCAATGCAATGGACTGCTCTTCGGTTTCAGAAACCCTCCAATACGATCAAGGGCTGGCATCCGGCGAAAATAGCTCAATATTATCACTGGCCTTTGTGTGGGCCTTTGTTTTATTTTTTTTTTTATTTTTATAAAACCAATCTGGATACGCTCTTTTTGGCGACTTTAAAATTTTTCTTCGACTCGGATATAAAAAAAACTTTGAACTGCAATTTGCACACGTCTGATCTCGGCCAAGTATCACCAGAAAAAGAAAGCATCTGACGCCTTGGACCAGGCGGGAACCTTTTTACAGAGGCGGTAGGTCAGCGAGGTGAAAGTAGCCATTTTCGGCGAAAGTGACACTTGCACCTGTTAAGCCAGGAGTTACCCTATTGACCTGCTTGCGCCTTTCCCTCATACGACCAAGAGGTGGCGCTAAGAAAAATTACGATATTCGCCTATTAAACTGATTTAACAAAACAGTTGCTGCTGCAAGCGTTACAAATGCCCCCCACCAAAATCAGACTTGGTGGTTTTAAAAAAAAACATCAAGGCTGATCACACCTAAGCTTGAAGCAGCTATTGCTTTAAGTCTTTTGCGTGATATTTGCCAACAAATCGACCCTGGAGATCCTCCAGCTCGTAATAGCAATTGCCAATTTTACGTCGAACACGGGCTTTGATATAGGCAGGTCCCAATTTTGAGTTATAGCCAGCTTGAAAATTACTCTGTCGAAAATTTCTCCGGTAAATTTCCTGACCTACCCTATACGAAACTGCTCTTGAGCGTAAATTGTAATTGCGCTCATTTTTCTCATTTTGTTTTCGCATTACCTCGCATGCTTTGCTTCGTATAAGTTCGAGAGAATCTTCCTTGCTATAAACAGCTGCTTTATCTTCTAGCAATTTTAAGTGTCTCAACAATTTGTAGGTTGAACCCGAATTTAAAAATTGTTGACCGAACACCATATAATATGGAGTAGCACCAATTCCGGAATGAACTGCTGACCTTAAAGCACAACTTATACTGCTCAAATGCTCGTCCCAGTCTTTTTGATCTGGCCTTATATAAGAACGAATAGCAGCAATAATTGAGCGATTTACACGCTCGGACGCATTAGCCTGTGGCGAATATACAGCTGTCAATGTATGAACAACTTGATTGTCCCGAAGCAACTTTTGAAAAGCTTCAGCCTTAAATTGCGAACCATTGTCTGAAACAACTGTCTCTGGAACTCCAAATGTGTGGAAAAGCTCCTGTTGCATATATTTCACGACAACATCTGCAGTCAGTTTTTTCACTGCTTTAAGAAAAACAAACTTGGTGTAGTGGTCCATAACAATAAAAATACCAATATTTCCACTACGAGAACGAGGATACGGGCCTAAGAAATCAATATACAACCTTTGAAAGAATCTCTGTGATTCTGGGGACTTTCCAATTGGCGGACGCTGAACTGTATTTGGCGCTTTAGTCGTTTTACATGTTTCGCAAGAATTTATGTAACATTTCACATCGTTGACTAAGCCTGGCCAATAATAATACCTTCGTATCCTTTCCAAAGTTTTATGCACTCCACCGTGAGAAGCTAACGGGTGGTCATGTGCGTTTTTCAAAACCTCTGAAACTAATTCCTTAGGAATCCATAACTTCCAACCAAAAGAATCATGCAACTGGTCTCCCGTTGCATGGTCTGATCTACGGTACACAAAATTTTCAACCACTTTAACATCGGGTAATTTGTCTGCATTTGCCTTAACGCGTTCCATGAGCTCAGTATAGTCATCGGACTTAAAAAATTTAGATTCCAAGTCGACTAACAAACCATTACTGGCCTCTATCGCAGCTATTTCGTCATCGTGCACCCTAGACAAAGCATCTGGAACAATATTCAATCTACCGCTTCGATGTTCAATTTTAAATCTAAAACCTTGAAGTTTTAGTGCCCATCGAGCAAGACGAGAATGTAAGTCTTGTTGTGACATGAGCCACTTTAAGGACGCATGATCGGTTATCACCGTGAATTCGTGACCTTCAACATAAGCACGAAAACGCTTAATGCATACTAAAGCTGCTAAACATTCTTGCTCAGTTACAGTATAATTTTTTTGAGCCTTGTTAAGTTTTTTCGAAACAAAAGCTATGGGATATTCATCTCCATCTTCAGTCTTTTGAACCAAGACACCTCCGACTCCAGTTTTGCTAGCGTCACAGTGTATAAAGAAAGGCTTGCTGAAATCGGGACTGCGTAGCACTGGTGCTAAGCAAAGCAACTGCTTTAATTTTACAAATGATTGTTCACCCTCTGGAGTCATAATAAATTTCTGTCTGGGCTTTAACAGATCTGTAAGTGGAGCAGATATTGCGGCAAAATTGCTAATAAACTTGCGGTACCATCCAACCATTCCCAAGAAACTCCTTAGAGCTTTGAGTGTACGAGGAATTGGAAAATCTGTCATTGCTGAAATTTTTTCTGGGTCTGTACGAATGACACCTTCACCTATAATATGTCCTAAATATTTAACCGAGCGCATGCAAAATTTGCTCTTTTCTACGTTTAGTGTTAAACCAGCAGATTTGATTCGCTCAGCAACTTGAGTCAAAACCTTTAAGTGCGACTCAAAACTATTCGACACAATTAACAAGTCGTCCAAATAAACAAATACCTCATTTCTGAGCGATGGTGGAATAACTTTATCCATTAGACGAGTCATTGTTGCGGCAGCATTGGTCAAACCAAAGGGCATGACTTTATACTGGTAAAGCGGCCTACCCGGTATCGTAAATGCTGTTTTATCTCGCGACGAAACATCTAACGGAATTTGCCAGTAGGCATCTTTCAAATCTAGACTTGATATAAACATTGCTTTTGGCAAACGGCTTAAAATGCCATCAATTTGTGGAAGCGGATACGCGTCTTTTCGCGATACAGCATTGACTTTTCTGCTATCCAAACAAATACGAAATTTTCCTGGCTTTTGTACCAACACAACTGGCGAAGACCAAGCACTGTCTGACTCTTCTATAACTCCTTGCTCAAGCATGCGATCAATCTCAGCATATAGAAGTTTTTCTTGAGCCGGAGAAATAGGAAAATGACGCTGTTTAATTGGTTTTGCATCACCAACGTCAATTATGTGCGATATGAGCGAAGTCTTGCCAAGACCAGAAACTACAAATGAAGGAAATTTGTCAATTACTGCCTGAAGGCTTTCCTTTTGTAAACCCAATAAGTTGTGAGAATCTGATGACAGTTCGGAAATTTCTCTGTCCGGTGGCAAAAGATTGAACGTTGTCCAAAAATCGATTCCAAGGTACAGATCCTGACTTAAGGAAGGAATAATATGCAACTCTATATCTTTCGTCTCGTTTTTGTATTTTATTGCAGTTTTAAAACGACCTACAATTTCTTGTTTTTTTCCATCTGCGGTACAAGCTGAACTTATAATTCTTTTGAAATTGAATCTACTTCGTATTAATTGTTCTGCCAATCGACCACCTACACAACTAATAGCTGCGCCAGTGTCCATTAATCCAAGCACAATTCTATCCAGCATACGAACTTCAGCATACGGGCGCTTATCATTATTTTTATAGCGAATGGCATTTATTGTTTTTGCAGATTGCCAATACGCGCGCATGCGTTTTGCATTTCTAGAAACTGATTTTCTTCTACCTAAGTTTTTAAAATTAAATATATCTACAAAGTTTTTGTACTTTTGCGGCCAATGCAAAAGTGACAACGTAGAACTAGCTGTACTTGTGTTTTCATCGGTAATTATTCGGCATTCGTTAATTTGCTGCTCTGAACACACGGGTGCTGCCGAGCCGGTGCGTTCGACCTCGAGTTTTTTGAGCATTTGGTGCAAGTTGGTTTATATGTATTCTTAGCACCACAACCATAACAAAAAACTCTACGCTTAGCTTCACAATCTTGATATCGATGCCCCTCTTTACGACAATTCCAACAAACTAGAGCCATTGCGCCAATTTCGCCTTCGCTCTCCATGTCAGAAAATTCTGCGGCATCCTCAGTTTCACTATCCTCTACCAGCTCAGAAACTTGCTTTCTAAAAGGAACTGTTTTTTGATAGCTATAATCTCGCTTTACGTCTTTTAAAAACGCTTCGCGACGGCGACAAATTTCACGCAGGCGGCTAACCGAATTTATTTGAATGTTTAATAATTCGTGCCTTATTTCGGGCCTTAAGTTTCGACGTAGTGTTTCGACAACAATCTCTTCAGGCATAGGACTTTCTAAACTATCCATTAGCTGAACTATTGCGTCATAAAATGAATCGAAATTTTCTTTTTCCCGCTGCTTTCGATCCCTGATAGCCTCTCGAATGTCTACATCTGTACGCGAATCTCGATATTGTTTTCGAAGTGCGTTACAAAGTAAGTCCCACCTTGCCAAAGGAGTAGTTCGATGGAACCGCCAATAAAATTCTCGTGCCTTTCCTTCAAAAAGCAAACTGGCATTAGAACAAAGAAGTGCAAAATTTCCCTCTAGAGTTTGGTGTGTCATTGCCTCAGCTCTATATATAAAATTATCGACACTAATGCCCTCCGGATTTCCATTGAAGCGTAACTTCCAACTATTCAGAATATGACCAACTTTATCTGGACGATACGTTAAATCGCTGTGCGAAGTTGGTGTTCCAGTAGGAAATACCACAGACATTGACTCGCGCTGACTGCGTTGCGCCTCTTGCTCATTATTATTTCTACGAGTATTTTGAGCCTGGTTTTGGGTCTGAGCCACTAAAGAACTCATCTGTTCTGCTATGTTGGTCCGTATCGACTGAGCTATTTGAGCTGACAATTGGCTAAAAAGGTCATTTTGCATGGCTCGAACTGCCTGAGCCACTATAGGAACGATAGAATTTTCTTGGGAATTCGTGCTATTCCGTTGTTCTGCTGATCTACTAGTACCCGGTATGTCGTCTTGAGTTGCATACGTTTCGTGTAATCTGACTTGTTG